TTGCAATCAAAGCCTCTCTACAAAAACACTTGGTACTGCTCCTTTGTTTGCAACAGTGATCTGTTTTCCCACTTAGCAAGGCTCGTGGAATCTTGTAATGACCAAACTCCTTTCGAAAAATGACCCGATCAGCAGATTCAGAGACATCCATGGATGTTAAATTAAATTCTGGAGAACACAACTGGACAAGCTTTTCAACATGTTGAAGAACATCAATTTCTTCTTGAGTCAATTCTGCATAAGGAACTAAGAAATGCTTTTTTAGTGTTACTCTGGACAGAATTGTTTCCAAGGGTTCAAATGCTCCAGACTTATACAGCACGTCAATTAGAGATTGATTACACAAAACTAACTTCTCCTGAATTTCTTGTTTGATTTCATTGAGTTTCTGTGCTGAAACTGTGTTGGGTATTGGGTATGTCATTGGTCCATGCATAGCAAAAAACCGTTGAGCTATCAGAAATGCAGCTTCATCGCTGAGGTAGAAATTTGCATGTCGTACATCAGAGGTGTTGTTCCGTTCCAAGAGATTGTAATAATATGGAACCAGATCTGGTCTCTGTTCTATAGCATGCACCCACATACTGCTAATCTGGTGATCAATTTCACTCAGATGAATGACAGCTCTTCGATCTCTGTCGATCTTAAGATGAACAAGGTCAACGCCAGAGGCCAGACCATCTTTGGACAGGTTGGACACCCAGACACCTTTGACATAAAGTTGGCCTTTATAATGAGCACCAATCAGCAATGTCCCAGTTTCTGACTTAATACAGTCAGAAGGTGGACAGAGGAAAAGAAACCGATTCACATACAGTTCCCAATCTTCATGACAAAGTGGGAAGACAGATACGCGTGTGTCTGTCTGTCCAAGATCGAGGTCATCATCGTCATCATTATTGTCGTCGTCACTTTCATTCCACCTGTCGTCGACAAAGACAGTCAAGACCTCCTCATCAAACGCTTCATCATGCGACAATCCAAACTTCCACCGATCTCTACCCGTTTCCATAGAAACCACTCTCCCTTCTCTGACCAAAGCCAAGGCACCAACTTTCAGTCCTTCGCCAAACTGTCCAATCACTTCCTTGTTGGAAGCTTTCTTCGAAAAACCGAGAAGCAAGACTTTCCTCATCAGTTCTGTGTCGTGGTTTACCAGGGTAAGTCTTTCTCTGGCTGGGGTATAGACTATTCTCCCGAGTTCCACGCTCCTCTCCTCTTTACGATCACCTGAATGCGAACCATGGAACGTTTGATCACATTTTTGTGTTCGATTCGTCAAAGTGGCTGAACTGCTTACCCCTTCTGACGAATTTCCCGTTGTTAGCACTGCTTTATATAAGAGAGAGTCTTTTTCTTCGCCAGAAAGAAACGCGACTTTTGATCTCGCAGAAGCGGTGATCTTCATTTTTTCAAGGGAAGCGAACACTCCATCATGCCAGTTTTGTACAAGTTCACGGACGCCTTCCCATGTTTTCCATGACGGTGCATATTGAGCAGTTAAACTGAGACTTATAGACTTAACTGAACTCGACTCCTGAGCCATTTTCATGCGTACAATGTCCAGCTCAGCAGCAATAATCTACAGTGAACTTCCGCTGCACGTTACACTACCCACGTCGTTCCTAGCGCCCAGGTTCCCAAGGGTCAACGATGACATCATTAATGACATAATTTCTTATTTTTGATGTGTCATGTTTCCGGTTTCTCAAATCCGTACGTGAGACTCTCCCAGACCTCTGCCTGGAGAGAAAATCTGGAGATTTTCCCAATAAACTTCGGGTGTCTCTGTTCAAATAAACAGATTTACTGAAATACATGACCACTGCAGCAAATCAAAGAATTAATCTGCTGCTAAATCATGCTGTGTTGCTTGGATGATAATTTCTACATGTACAACTAACAAATGGCAAGTGTTACTAAGAGACTCTTTGATTAGAGTTAAGGGATTTTCTAAAACGTTCTTACCAATACTTTTCTAAGAAGAGTACCTATTGCCTTATAAATATATTAAATATTAGCTAGACAGCCATGTTCTAAACAAGATAGCGGCAAAATATCACAGTTAAATCGAGATGTAATACTGCTTTGTTTATTGGCTCTAAAATGAACATAATAATTATTGTCTTACTGCAGCATAATACTTTGCAATACTCATCTCAATTTAACAATGCAATGTTCTTACCACGTGCAGTGTAATTGTTGAATATCTGGCAAAAAAGAGGAAAAGTTAAGTATATCTTCATATGGAGTGACCTTTTCAATCGAGTGTCGTCAAACCAAAGCCAATGAAGTTATCACTTTGGCCAATCCAAAAAAAACACAGACAATCCACGAACTAATCCAAACTCAAAGCAAACATTGTGTAGCTGACGCAAAGCACGGGAAAACTTGTGCGAGTGAGTCACATTTGGCTTAGGTTTTACTTGTGATTGGGCAACAAAATGGCATGATTCTTTTAAGCTAATCGATTGGCATAGTAATGCAGAACCAGAGAAAATGCAAATGACTTTTGATGCTCAAGTGAAAACAGCTCTAAATGAGCCGTATTTCAGATACAATTTAAATTTGTAAATTAGTGATCACACTGGATGAAAAAAAAAGCAATAAATTTGGAGCTAAACAGCACGTACAGTATCCAAGTGTATAAATGGGTACCGGGAAACTTAATGCTGGGGGTAACCCTGCAATGGACTAGCATCCCATCCAGGGGCAGTAAAAATACTCCTGGTCACTTCATGCTTTCAAAACGAGGATAAGCTCTGGCCTGATGGGCCACTTCCTTTCCATTTTCTTTGTCATTTTATGCTAAATATACAATACACATGACAAGTTACAGGTATGCACCACAAATTTATCTACAGGATCAGAAAATACGAAAAAAATTATTAACAATAAATACAATCATTACGCTTTGCGTAAAAGTTCTGGGGGGCCTCAACTGAGTACTATTGAGAGGTGCTAACCCAACATATGTTTTCTCAAAGCATATTAAGCTCTCCTTGATGTACAATTTGAAATTATATTTCAATAAACATGGCAAAATGTTAGCAAAATTTTAAGTGGTCTCACTTGCATATTTTTGAGACACATTCTCCAAGTCTCAAATTCTCTGCACAGCCACAAAATCCTCACATTGACAGAAAGGATCTCATATTATTTTCACTGTCTGGTTAAAGCTCTAATCCATTCACCACCCCTCTAGTTAGCTGTCTCAGTGGCAAACTGAACTGTTATGGTCATTAAGCCACCTTAGAAAAAATAATTAAAACTTATGACAGTTGGAATAAAATCTCCAAACTCTACAAAGTCAGCTATGATAATGTTAAATTTATGACACTTGGTGCCACAGAGAGCCTTAAGCCACCCAGTAACATGGCTGTTGCATTTCATCGCACAGACATCTTTAAGGGTGCTAGTCATGTTCTGTAGCACTGTTGAAGTTTGCGGCGTGAGCACGGCTTGTGTCACTTGAAAGGCATCGTCTGAAAAGCTGGACACTGCAGATTGTTTGTTGAGAAATTCCATCAACAGTTTCCTATCTGCTGTGTTTGGCCACGGGGAGCAAATCAAGTGAGGCGGCCAGAAGCAAGGGTAGGCATCAACCACACCGTAATCATGGTAAATGATAATGACCTTTTCTTCGTTACCCCACATTTCTTGAAGGGTAACATTTGAGCCGTCTTGACCTGGCGCTCGAAAGACCTCGCTAAACGAAGCTAGCAGCGTGCCCGCAAGGGTTTCATGAGTAGCAGGATCCATGTTGTAAAAGTGATTGAAGTCCAGGATGACAATTTCTTTTGGATAATTCGCCACATAGCGGTTCACTTCTTCTAAAACCTGCTCAATCGTCCACCCGTACAATCCGTGCAAAACACGAATCTCTTTGTCTTCCTCTCTGTATGCAACTCGCAGATCCAGGTAGCGGATACCCGACAACAGCTGCTCGTAAATGGTCATGGATTGTGTCACGGACCAACTGTGGACCACAGACTTCGCTATTTTGCCAAAAATACTTCCAAGAGTTTGAATCGTGGACGACTCGTCGGGGCCGATCTCCATGTTTTGATCAAGGAAAAACGTTCCCGAATCATGAGATCCCGGAATCACCAATTCTTTCAAAGGACACAGTTGTTTCTCATTCGGTAAGTTTTCCATCCACCGTGAATAATCGTTGTCTTCTAGGGCTGTGAGGCGAAGAACTTCAAAGTCGTCCACAGTACCCTTGTCCGCCATGTTGTTTTGCAAGACAAGGCTTTCTTTGTGGGGTAGAGTGGGGGGACCTTGTTGTAGAACCTATATAAACAATAGCCTCCATCAATGTGCTCGGATATTTGTTCGCAGACATTACCTGTTCCGAGAAGTGAACAGTTTTCCGAGCGTAGCTCGAGGAAAGCCTTGAGGAACATAATGTCCAAGGACAAATATCCGAGCATATTTTCAAAGTCAAATGGAGGCTATTGTGTTTATTATCCTTCGAATATTTTTCGCAACACGCGCAGTTTCGAAAATCGGGGAATATTTTACGATAACTGCTGAAATTCTCGCGCACTCATTGGCTAATTTTCATTGTCAATAAGCGGACAGACACATGAATTTATAATTTATGCGATGTTAATTTTTTGTTAATTTTTTTGTGAATTTGTCCATTTGCAGGAAACCTGGCCCGTACATAAACTGGAAAGCTGATAACATGAAAAGCCTGAGATTGTAGAGAAGAACCTTGCAAATTAAAAACCAGTCCAGCTAGAAATTTGGAAAAGGTTCATTATTGGAAAATATTTGATGGATTATAATTGTCAACAATTACTTATATATTGGTACAATAGTATCAACACTATTCCATTGGAATCTCCGGGCTTGTATTTGTCAAAAAAATTTTATGACCGTCAAGCTCATATTTTTGAAGACATCACTCATTCTCCTCCGCTAACTCGCCACCCTTGTTACCCTGGCCAGCCTCACCAACCTGGTACTGGTCACCCTGAGCACCTTGGCCATTCTTACCACACTCGCGTCACTCGAGCTTCCCTCGCTATCATCGCCGATCTTGTCAACAAAGATGTTAACACCTCGCTTGAAAAAGTAGAAACATGTTAATTTCAGCAGCTAAAAGATGCCTAAAGATAAGAATAACAAAAAATCGTAAAAAAAAAATGAAACCGTTACCGAACAAAAAGTTGCTTGATGAAGAATGTCGCTTTAAGAAACAAGAGCTAAGGAAAATTTCAAACCAAAACCACAGAGATCCTTTAAATGCAAACTTTCGAGAGCAATATCATCATTTATACTTTAACAGGATACAAAAAGCTACTGAATAAGAAAAAAATGATTACTACAACAACTCAAAAATCACTGAGTTAGAGGAAAATGCAGAAGACTTTTGGAAATGTTTAAAATCAATGGATGACAGGCGAAAAGATAAAAACGATATTCCATCAATCTCAGAGGATAACTGGGTAACATACTTTCGTTCACTTCACTCGAAAAGTCCTTTAAATCCTATTCAGCAGTCAATAATGAATGATCTAAAACTTCTAGAGCATCATAAAGGGCAGTTTCACTCATTAGACTACTTGATCACTGACCCCTAAAAGATTGCAAAATAACAAATCGGCGTTCTCGGACAAAATAAAAAACGACTGAAATTATCAACTGAGCTAGTCTTCAAGAAATGATGCCCGCCTATCTTAAATTCTTCAACTCAATTCTTACTTCAGGTATAATGCCTAATACTTGGTGTCGCGGTCTTATTACACAAATTTTGCTCCATTTTAAATCAGCGACTGCTTGAGCATGTAAATTCTCTTAATATTCTACACAATTCCCAGATTGGTTTCTACCCAAAAATCGAACAGCAGACCATGTTCTTATATTGAGAACTCTAGTAGATAAATACGTGCATCACCACAACGAAAAAATCTACGCTTGTTTTGTTGACTTCAAAGAAGCTTTCGACTCAGTTTGGCATGACGGACTTTTATTTAAGTTATTACAAATTCATGTCGGTGGCTGTTTTTTCAATTTAATAAACATCTTGTATTCAAACTCTACATGTTCCATAAAAGTTGGTCAAAATCAAACACGGCCCTTTCCATACGCAAGAGGGGTACGCCAGGTTGTATTTTGAGCCCGTTACTGTTCAACCTCTTTATTAATGACATACCATTCTCTTTTGATAAAATTCTATCTGATCCCTCTGACCTAACAACGGCGCAGAATAAAATTAACTTTTAAAAGCAGGCGATTTAGTCATATTGTCGAGATCAAAAGTAGGACTGCTATTGCAGTACATGGATGTTAAGTATCAATGTTAAGTATCAATCCAAAAAAAACTAAAGTTATGATCTTTCAAAAACGTGCTAAGAAATGTATCGAGTCTAATTTTCATATAGACAATGAGCCGTTTGAAATTGTTCAAAATTATACTTATTTCAGTGGGAACACTCATTTCTTCAAAGGGTAACTTTTCATTGGCACTTGATAAATTGAAAGAAAAGGCCCTTCACGCCCATTTCAATCTTAGAAAACACACAAATTTCAGCAAACTACCTCCATTCGAATTCCTAGCGAAAAAAAGTTTCGACGCAATGATCTCCCCAATTTTGACATATAACAGTAAAGTCTGGGGTGCATATGCAAAATCTGATCTCAAGTCTTGGGACATGTACAGTTCCCAGATCGAAAATACACATCTCCAATTCTGTAAACGTTACTTAGAAGTGATGCATTTATAAAACAATGGAACATATCATTCCGACTTTTAAACAATTATCTTCGTTAGAAGCCATTGGCGAACTTATGACTTCTTTAAATCATTATATTAATATTCAATTTGCAAAATTTATTTCATCTTGCTTTGATCTACGCAATATTCTACTTTCAAGTCAAACCAATGTAACTTGATTGCTATATCATAACCTTATTATATGATCACGATAATCGTTAACTGTTTTAGTTTTAGTTTTAGTTTACAAAAGCTTTTGCAACACCGTATGTATTTATGGTCATGCAAATAAAGCTAGTTGTTGTTGTTGTTGCTACTCCCCCCACCCTTGCTATCCGCAACACCCCTGCCACCCAGGTCGGCCTCCCAACACCGCCTCCCTGAAAATGTTGGATTGTGGAGTACAAATTTAAAAGGGGCTTACATTTTGACTATTTTTGCAGTGAAATAATGGACACATGCCAGGACGAAATTTACGATATGGCCTTATTTTGGCGGATCCCGTTGGTGGAGAATTATAATTATGTCTACACCTGCAGGGCGATAAAGCTCTAGACTTTTTCTCAGTGTGGACTGCTGCGAGCAGTTCCGGTCCTAGCTTTACGGCAGAAAAAAAAAAAATGAAAATGAGGCGTTTAACATCCTCAGACTTGTCATTGAGATCATTCACCGTGGAAATCTGCTCTAAATTATCGTCCAATTGTTCATTTCAGTCTGATCGAAAGCCAAAAATGTGCAAAATAATCTCTGGATAAACGAATACACATTATCGTGTCGCAGACTTGGTAGCAATAGCGAAAATTGTCAGGCTAAAAGCTTTTAGTCACGAGACACGTTCATTTATGACATTTCAGTAATGGGGTATCCTGCACTGAGCATTTCTGTTTGCGAGACTTCTCCCATATGACGCAACTTAACCTTCCAATTCAAGGTTGTCATGAAAAAGATTTTTCTGACAAAGGTAGAAGAAAAGCAAACGACTTCTTGCAGTCGATTTTTTCCAATGAGAGCCATCAACAGTCAGTCAGCATTAATTTACTCTGCATTAAAAGTAATATTATGTGTGCAACAGTAATTCGTTTTTTTCGTGAACAAATTTTAGCAGATTTTCTTATTACTTTAAAGAGGCCCTGTTAGGGGTAAATTCCGACAAGCGACATGGCCTTGAAACGGCGACATGAGAGCTATGAATTGGCGACGAACAACAGACTACTCTAGCGAAATAGAGAAAGCGAC